AAAGCTAAAGGAGTATCAGAAGAGTAAACAATTTATGAGCAAAAAATTTCAAAATGCGAATGAAAAAGCCACAGAGGCTTCTTACAGAGTGAGTTACCGCATAGCACTTGCAGGAGAAGCACACACAATTGGAGAAATCACTAATAAAACTATGTGCCAAAGAAATAGTGTCATGTATTTTAAGTGAGAAGTTGAGTAAAAATTTAAGCTGTGCCACTTTAACAACACAGTTTTGCGCCGTATTCACGATCTTGCTGATGACATCCATACTGAACTAATTTCTCGACTATATCAGGGTAATGGGTACTCACTGAAATTAGACGAGTCCACAGACGTTGCAGGACTTTCAGTTTTGTTGTTTTTTGTAAGATATAATTTTGACAAGCAGATTGACTTGCTTCTGTGTGAAACTTTGAAAACTCATACCACTGGTGAGAACATCTTTAAAGGACCACTCTAGGCACCCAGACCACTTCAGCTTAATGAGGTGGTCTGGGTGCCAGGTCCAGCTAGGGTTAACCCATTTTTTTTAGAGACACTGCTATGTTTATGAATGGGTTAAGCCTTCCCCCTAATCCTCTAGTGGCTGTCTCATTGACAGCCACTAGAGGCGCTTGTGTGCTTCTCACTGTGATTTTCACAGTGAGAGTACACCAGCGTCCATAGGAAAGCATTATAAATGCTTTCCTATGTGACCGGCTGAATGCGCGCGCAGCTCTTGTCGCGCGTGCGCATTCAGCCGACGGGGAGGAGAAGAGGAGGAGCGGAGGAGGAGAGCTCTCCGCCCAGCGCTGGAAAAAGGTAAGTTTTAACCCCTTTCCCCTTTCCAGAGACGGGCGGGAGGGGGACCCTGAGGGTGGGGGCACCCTCAGGGCACTATAGTACCAGGAAAACGAGTATGTTTTCCTGGCACTATAGTGGTCCTTTAACTGCATCCAGAAATTCATGAACACACACAGTATAAATTGGGACAAATGTGTAGATGTGTGCAGTAATAGTGCCAAAGCAATGGTTGGGAAAGTGGCAAGCGCTGTGACACGAATAAGAAATGTAGGAAAAAACAGCACAAGTTCTCACTGTGTTCTTCACAGACATGCTGTCATGTTTTTTTCTTTAACAAATGCCAAAACAAAAAAATAAGAACCACTCACTTTTTATTTTGAGGCAGTTTCAGCACGGCAAACTGATGTGGCAGCAAAGCAGAGAGATAAACTGACAGTCCTTGAAAATAGAAGTTTAGGTGATGTGTCCAGGGTTAGCTCATAAGCAATGTCCTTTATCCAGTCCGAGGTCGTTCAATAGGAGATCAAGCAGTATTGAAGGATATTTCAAAAGCAGAGTCAAGGCCAGTCCGAATTAGTTAACCAGGTAATCAAAGCTATAGGGGTATGAAGGAGATTCAGAAAAGGGTCCGGTGATGGAACACACGGTCTCTCTAGGAGTGATTCAAATGATTAGCAAGGAGGTTGATGCAATCAGACAGATTAATACATTAATTGTGCACTGAGGTATTGGAGATTGGAGTTTAAATAACCAAAGGGATGTGTACTTCCATGCCGTCTTAAAGAGCCAGTAATAAACAAATAAAATTCCTGACACAGGCACTGGTAGCTAAAAATATTTCAATCTCACTTAAAACTGTGCTAGACAAATCAGTCCAGATGATTAATTTTATAAAAAGTCAACCATTACAGTCACGGCTTTTTAAAATAATATGTGAAGATATGGGTAGTCACCACTCTGCTCTGCTTTTGCATTCAGAAGTCTGTTGGCTATCACGAGGTAAAGTCCTTGCTAGACTGTTTGAATTTCGTCAAGAGTTTTTTGCATATTTCCAGGATCATAAGTTTGGATTATCTGATCAATTAACAAACACTCTGTGGTTATGCAAAGTAGCAAATCTTGCAGACATATTCACAAAATTAAATAACGTTTGTTTATCACTCCAAGCAAAAAAAGACTAATATTTTTAATGCAAGAGATAAAATATTTTCACTCTCTCGTAAGCTGCAGTTTTGGACCTCATCTGTTGAGCAAAATACTTTGAACTCTTTGCCAACACTTAAGGATTTTCTTGAAGAATCAGAAATTAAACTTGAAGATGAAATTCGCAATGAAATTGTAGTTAATCTTCATTATTTAATCACATCTATTAATCAGTATTTTCCATTCTTGAATGAAAACAATAATGAGTGGGTTTGAAATCCATTCATAAAAGACAAGCCAGCCAATTTTTATGATGTAGACTCTGAGAATCTGATCGATATAACTTCTGACAGTCAACTAAGCCAAAAATTTAAAGAAGTTTTTCTTATTGCTTTTTTGGGTAATTTAAGAGAAAAATACCCAGAATTAACCAAGCGGGCAATCAAAGTTCTGTTGCCATTCGCCAGCACATACTTATGTGAAACTGGATTCTCGCTTTACTCTACAACAAAAACAAAGTATCAAAATCAACTTGCAGACATGCAAATACAATTGTCAACAATTAAACCAGATGTAAAAAGAATTTGCCAGCAAAAAAGAACATTACACTCTGCTCATTGAAAGGTTTGTGCTGCGCTACTCTACGGCACACATTTTTTTGTTGGGGTTCCAAATATTTGCTATACCATGTCAAAGGGTTCGAAAGAAAAAATTAATTGGGAAACCCTGCTGTATAGATCCATTGCTGTTCTGAAAAATATCCTAGCTGCATCTACCTGCCAAATGCTAGGCTAAATGGTAGAGTAAACTTCTCCTAGTTCTCCCTGTCTGCATCTTCATGGATAATATCAACTATCATAGCTGCAGCTACTTGCCAAATGCTTGGTTAACCCCTTCCTGACCGTGGACGTACCAGGTACGTCTGACAAAAATGGTCCTTAAGAACTGCGGACGTACCTAGTAGGTCTGCAGCATATCTTAATACTCCCAACTGCTGCCATTCCGCCACTGGAAATCATTGTTTCTCCCGATCTGGGGGGACTGCCTGACAGCCCAGACAGTCCCCCCTAGGCAAATTAGGCCCCCGCATCCATGGGAACGCTCTGAAAGAGCGGTCACATGTCCGCAATAGGCGTCCGTAATGCTGCCTGCATGGGACTGCCTGAACTGACAGTCAGTCTCCCTGCATCTGTAAAATATTTTTTTTTTAGTAAATTAAAACAAAACAATGTATATAAACATAATACAAAATTTCTCCATATACATAAATAATTTCATAAGTATACACGTAGACTTCAAATATATAAATATGTATATATATTTACATTCTACGTGCATATTTATGTAATATTTTTACATAATTAAGTAATTTTATTGATTGCAATCTGAGGTACCTGCCTGACAACTGAAGCCGAAAGTTCAGAGAATTTAATTTGCTAGCACTGTATTTAACCCTTTTACTTTCCATGACACCCTAAAACCTGTACAATGGGAGGTTATGTTTTAATCGGGAGACTTCATTGAACACAAATATTAGTGTTTCAAAACAGTAAAACATATCACAGCGATGATATTGTCAGTGAAAATGAAGTTTTTTTGCATTTTTCACACAACAACGTCACTTTCACTGATGATATCATTGTTGTGATACATTTTACTGTTTTGAAACACTAATATTTGTGTTCAGCGAAGTCTCCAGAGTATAACAGTACCCCCCATGTACAGGTTTTATAGTGTTTTTGAAAGTTACAAGGTCAAATATAAGGCTTGATTTTTCATGCTCTCAAATTGAGATTTTCCAGATTGGTTATGTTGCCTATAAGAGCTTATGGTAGCCCAGGAATTATAATTACCCCCATAATGGCATACCATTTGCAAAAGAAGTCAACCCAAGGTATTGAAAATGGGTTATGTTCAGTCTTTTTTAGTAGCCAATTAGTCACAAACACTGACCAAACTTAGCGTTTATAATAGTTTTTTGCATTTTTAACACGCAAACAAATATAAATGCTAACTAGAAAAGACTGGACATACCTCATATTGAATACCCTGGGTTGTCTAATTAAAAAAAATATGTACATGTGAGGTGTGATTTAGAGATTTATGACAGATAACAGTGTTACAACATTTTAAAAATATATATTTTAAAACTGCAGTGTCCTACTTGTACTTATAGCCCTATAACTTGCAAAAAAAGCTAAGAACATGTTAACATTGGGTATTTCTAAACTCAGGACAAAATTTAGAAACTATTTAGCCATTGATATTTTGACAGTTGTAAATGCGTAACAGATTTTGGGGGTTAAAGTTAGAAAAAGTATGTTTTTTAAAATGTTTTCATCATATTTTATAATTTTTTTATAGTTAATTATATGATATAAAAATAATCGTATCTTTAGAAAGACTGTTTAATGGTGAGAAAAACAGTATATAATGTGTGGGTACAGTAAATGAGTAATAGGAAAATTACAGCAAAACACAAACACAGCAGAAATGTAAAAACAGCCCTGGTCCTTAACGGTAAGAAAATTTTAAAATGGTCTGGTCACTAAGGGGTTAAATGGTAGAGTGAGGCTCTCTCAGTTCTCCCTGTCTGCACCTTTGTGGGTGCTTAGTATAATCCAAAGGTGGGGTTTGCTCTCATTAAAATTAGAAAGGGAAAGGTTTGCTAAATGGTTACTTCCCATATAGACAACCTAAAATGGGGATATCAAGAGAGTATTGCTATATTAAGGACAATGCTAATTATGGAGAGGGGAATAGGGATAAATACATCTTTCCCCTCACTGTGGATGCTGTAACCTCATAAGGTTACAGCATCCACAGTGAGGGGAGAAAGGTATCAAGGAAAATAGTAGAATTCACAATACAAAAAAGGAGTGAATCCTATAACTCTTCCTGTCTGCATATTAATAGGTGCTTAAATGCTGTATAGATCCATTGCTGCTCTGACAGATATACTAGCTGCATCTACCTGCCAAATGCTAGGCTAAATGGTAGAGTAAACATTTCCTAGTTCTCCCTGTCTGCACCTTTATGGGTGCTAATAATATCAACTATCATAGCTGCAGCTACTTGCCAAATGCTAGGTTAACCCCTTCCCGATCGCAGACGTACGTCCGACAAAAACGGTCCTTAAAGACTGTGGACGTACAGCATTTCTTAATACTTCCCTGATCGCCGCCTTTACAGCACAAACAGTCCCCCCTCTGCAAATTTCTGAGTCCCCGATACCTTTCATGTCTATCCTTGTGGCTATCCCCATAAAATTCCCTGTTATTTAAACACCCTATTATTTAAAATAGTAAATACGTGATAAATTAGTGCATAGTGCAAGTGAAAATAAAATTAAATAAACCTGACGCGCTTTATGATGCTCAAACTGCAACTTCATCAAAGGAGAGCTGTGGACTGAGAGCTTCGTGTTAAGAAGGGGAGGTGTCACTCCTCCTTGCTTCAATTAGCCTATTGTAATGAAGTCCCGCCCTCTGCCTTATGTGTGTCACTGTGGGTGCTGGGTGTACTCTTGTTTTATGAGCTGAACGGGAGGGTATAGTTTGTCCCTCCATTTCGACCGAAGCCTTGATTCAATATTTAACCTGTTCTACTGCAAAACGGATGGTACTCCTTCTGAATGTATGCAACATCAGGGTACCTTTGACCTAAATGATTGCTATTTATGTAATCTTTCATAGGAGGGAATTCGTTTTTTTTTATGCAATCATATCTTGGATATAGATGATCAATTCCTTCACTTTATCCATACTGATTTAGTTGAAAGTTATAATTGCAATGTTAATTCCTATTTTAGTAATATAATGGAGGACTAATCTCCACGGTTTAATCTGTCTAGGATGGGGTTGTACATTAAGTGTGGAGTATACATTCCCATTGCATCTATATATGTTAGCTCTGCACATTAATCCAGATGATCATAGAAAATATGATTTTTCATTATTTTAGATCTTTTCATGGATTTAAATAGGAATCTTGCTATTATCAATGCAATGTACTATGTATTAGATCTGTATATGTAAAAGATGCCCATTCTAATAAGTAACTGTTAGTCTTCAATGACATAGGAAGATTCTTCCGCAGTGAAGATTATTATGCTCAATCCTTATAAAGGGTGTGTGAGGAGTACCTGCCATTTTTCAAAGGGGTACTGTTGGGACAAGTATGGAGAACCCCTTAGCTTTGAAGCGCTAATTTAATTAGCTTTTTCGGATTACTTATGAGGGATCTTAATGTTATTATTACTGCTTACTTGGCATAGACAATGCGTTAATGGAAATGTATAAAGTGATAAATGAAAAAGGGTATGGTGAGAATGGTAACTGATTTTTATTGACAAGTTCCTTTCGTTCCTTTTGAATTACAGGTTATTGATAAAGGTAGAGAAGGTAAATCTCTCATTGAGAGTTGATGGTGAGAGTGTTTTTAAGCGATAAATCCAAAAGCACTCCCTCTTCAGGGGGGTTATGTTACCCTTTCTTTGATCCAGAGTCACAATTCTTTACCCATAAACCTCAATCCTTTGGGGTTACCTTGGTGACCTAGTCGGACATGCCTAGAAATTGGTGTCTCAATCTGTCTCATTGTGTCTACAGAGTTAATGTGTTGCAACATGCATCACTTGAAGGAGGGGAGTGTTTTGTGTACCTGCAAAAGTCCACATTGGCATGTCAACAAATAAACTAGTCCTTTAGTATCACAATTGAAGATGGATTTAGATTTAAATATGTCAGTGTGTTCACTGTTCTCAAAGTGGTTCTCAAACCCAGAAACGGGAGTCTTTAGAGGGATTATCTATACTCCCATTACGTTCATAGACACCCTAATTTAAAGGGACACTATAGTCACCTGAACAACTTCAGCTTAATGAGGTTGTTCAGGTGAGAATTATAGCTCACTGCAGCCTCTCTCATGTTAACACTGGAAGCTAGGAACACCTCCAGTTGCAGTCAGTCAGTCTACCACCAGGGGGACTTCCGAGTTCATGAATGCCTAATTCGCATTCATCACGTTTGAAGTCTTCACGCTTGGGTGAAGACATCAAACGTGCTATCAGCAGACAGGGCACAGTGAATGCGCATCCTGTCTCCCTAAGGCTGTCAGCCAGGGCCGGACTGGGAGAAAAATTCGGCCCGGGCATTTTTTTAACACAGCGGCCCACTAAAAAGGGGGCGGGGCAGAGGAGGTGTGTTTTGTCATCACCAATGACAAACACGCCTCCTCTCAAAGTGAGCATGTTGGTTCAATGCTCTTCCAGGGCAGACCATGCGCAGAGCTCTGCTGAAGAGCTCTAGCATGAGAAAAAAGTCCTGTATTTGTTCTGCACAGTGCAAGCAAATTTAATAACATGTTTGCACTGTGTTTCCTTGCAACTTGTCTCTGGTGTCTCTATAAATGGATACCAGGAGACAAAAGGCCAGGAAAGAGTATTGTGCATGTGTTTGGAGCCTGCTTGTGGTATTGCGTGTGTGTAGAGTGAGCTGGTCGTGGTGTGGTATTGTGTAATAAGGTGAGTTACTGTGTGAGAGTGCTGTGTAAGAGAGTGCTGTGAGTGTGCTGTGTGTGAGTGCTGTGTGTGTGAAACTGCTGTGTGTGATGTGTGAGAGTGCTGTGTGTGAGAGTGCTGTGTGAGAGAGTGCTATGTGAGAGAGTGCTGTGAGTGTGAAAGTGCTGTGTGTGATGGGTGTGAGAGAGTGCTGTGTGTGATGGGTGTGAGAGTGCTGTGTGAGAGAGTGCTGTGAGAGTGCTGTGTGTGTGAAAGTGCTGTGTGTGATGGGTGTGAGAATGCTGTGTGAGAGAGTGCTGTGTGTGTGAGAGAGTGCTGTGTGTGTGAGAGTGCTGTGAGAGAGTGCTGTGTGTGTGAAAGTGCTGTGTGTGATGGGTGTGAGAGTGCTGTGTGAGAGAGTGTTGTGTGTGTGAGAGAGTGCTGTGTGAGAGAGTGCTGTGTGAGAGAGTGCGAGAGTGCTGTGAGTGTGAGAGTGCTGTGAGTGTGAGAGTGATGGGTGTGAGAGTGCTGGGTGAGATGGGTGTGAGAGTGCCGTATAAATGTTATTGTGTGTGTGTGTGTGTGTGGGGGGGGTAAATAAACAAAAAACAGGCATTATTTCCCCCCCCTCACTTCTTACCTTTAGCCTGGGAGGGGGGGGACCGGCACGCTGGGACTGGGAGGCAGTGTTCCCTGGTGGTCCTCGAGGGTGAGTGAACTCTAGCCTGTGAGGCTAGAGTTCACTCTCGTGAGATCCGGTCGTTGCCATGGCAACGCGCCGGATCTCGCGAGAGGAACCCGGCGGAGCTGCAAGTTAGAGCTCCGCCTGGTCCTCCACTCCTGGCGGCTGTCTGTCTCCCTCTCTCCCCGCCGGCGGCCGCATGTGGGCCGGTGAGGGAGATCTTTGATCTCCCCACCGGCCCGTCATGGCAAACAGCGGGGCCGGCGCTAGGAGAGTGCCAGCCCTGCATAGACCGGCAGGGGAGATCCTGAGACCTCCCCTGCCGGCCTCGGCCTATGGCCACCGCGGCTCACCGGGCATTTGCCCGGTGTGCCCGAAGGCCAGTCCGGGCCTGCTGTCAGCGGTGTGTGGGATTGTGGGAGATAAGATCTCTTGCACACCACACAGTGTGAGCTGGCTCCTGCTGACAGTCTGAAGATTGAAGACTGGAATGTGGATTCAGAAGGCTGGAGACAGGTGTCTGGAGAGAGGAGGCTGGAGACAGAAGGCAGAATAGAGGAGGTGAACCTCAAATAGTGAGTACTAATTTTTTCAAATAAAATTGTACTTATTTTTTCCATTAGATTTATTTTCATCTTTATTTTTTAATTTATATATTTTTTAAATGTATAGTTATTTTTTTTTTAATTCTTTATTTTTCCGTGCATGAGTTTAAACATAACAATCGTTCATGTCGTACCCCAATGGCAGGGACATGCTTAGAGGAAACAAAGCTTGACATTTGTGGCATAGAATTGAATGCACATTTTTTATATTAGAGACATCAGGCTGGAACAAGGTAATAGTCAGTGATACAGTAGCACTGCAATTGATAAAACATAGGTTGTACTGGCTGACTGAGTGAGAAGTATCAGAATAGACTAGTGCTTTACACGTGACACATTAGTTAATTGAGAGTCATAACAGTTGACTGACTAAACATATCATGTGTTAGCTAATATGTGTGTGGTTATTACATTCCTGCTAAATACTGTGAGCTTCAGAAACCTGACATATGCACCGTAAATCAATCATGCCTATTAAAGCTAGTGGCACAGGAGGAAGTTACTGTTAGAGTGTTATGTCCGCAGATACCGTGTGGAGATACAAGGTGGGTGGTCATTTGCCTTTTTTAAGTCCCAGTTCATGAGATCAGTTCACCCAATGCCTGCTGGTGGCGGGGTACATTCCCCGAAAAGCGTGCGCTCAGGGGAGTTGTGTGCGTGAGAGTTCGGTTCGACTTTCCCGCTCTTCCATGCTAGGGGGCCAGTGCGTGCGCCCGCGTAGCTTGAGTCTTTGGGCCTCAGTCCAGCTCCGGCCTTGCTCCGCAGAGATATTGTTTGCGTGCCGGCGTGGCGTGCGACTATGTCCCTGTGGTGCTCTCTGGCGTCTCGCTGGTTCGAGATGTTGTGCTCGGGTGAGTTGCTGGAGCATAGGATTTACCCGGGGGTGTCGCTCTGTTGAGAGTGGGAGCGGCTCTGCCACCCACCTTGTCGACTTTCAGCGCCTGAATCCACGAGGCCACCATGTGGGTCGCTCGTTGGTAGGGTACTCCCCTGCCACATAGTGTCATGCAGAAGCTCAGGCAACTGCTCGCGTTCTCCTTCCTTGTACCATGCTGGGAGGCCATCTTGGATGTGCCTCAGTTGCACTAGCAGGCTGTGTGGTCGAGGTTGCTCGTTTGCTGTCTTGGTCCGTTTGTCTAATGGGGACCGGGATATCCCCCCCGGTCCAGGGGGGGGGGGAGTTGGCAGACAGCAGAGTTTCCTGGGGGGTCCGGTGTCGGAGAGAGCGGCTGCCTCTCCCCGGCTTCCACTCCAGCAGTCTGCGTTTCTTTTGTTTGGCGTGGGTGGTGCCCTCTGTGTGGTCTTTGGGCTTTGTTTTTGTGCCTATTTTGTTGCCCGTCCGACCCCCCCACGTCCGTGCAGCTTGGCGGTCAGACTCCGCCCCCTCTTATTTATTGTATTTTTAAAAACGATTTATAAATAGTTAAATTGTTGTTATAATAATCTATTTTGGAAATGGACTTGTTTTCCTACTTTGTTTTATTGTTAGTTGCAATTTTTAGGGGCATATTCACTAAATGTTTAAACTGTCCATAATATGCAACGTTTTTTTTTTATTTATTTTTTTATAGTGATTTGATTATGGTCATTATTTAAAGGAACACTGTAGGCACCCAGACCACTTTAGCTCATTGAAGTGGTCTGGGTGCCAACTGCCATCACCCTTAACCCTGCATGTGTAATTATTGCAGTTTTTTTAAACTGCAAGAAGTACCACTGAGGTTTAATTCCACCTCTAGTGGTTGTCTACCAGACAGCCACTATAGGGACTTAAGGCATCTTAGATGATTTTTGGTCATGAGGACCTCCAGCATTGCCAGAATCTCTATAGGAAAGCATTGAATAATGCTTTCCTATGGGGAGGTCTAATGCGTGTCATTGGCGTGCATGCTCATTATGAGCGTGGGCGGAGCCTGACCAAGCGCTGAGGGATATCAGCGCTGGATTAAGGTGTCTGAAGAGGTTTTAACCCCTTACTTTACTATAAGGAAGTATTACTTTACTGAGAGGGTAGTGGATGCATGCTGAAGTGGTAGAGGTTAACACAGTAAAGGAGTTTAAGCATGCGTGGGATAGGAATAAGGCTATCCTAACTATAAGATAAGGCTAGGGACTAATGAAAGTATTTAGAAAATTGGGCAGACTAGATGGGCTGAATGGTTCTTATCTGCCATCACATTCTATGTTTCTATCTTTCTAGAGGCATGATCATATTTGGGCATATTTGGGCATAAACACACACAAAAACCAAACAAAAAAACAAGCACAGTAAAATAAAAAAAACACAAAAGCACACACAATGCATCTAACACACTTCCTACTGTGTCCCGCGCAACCCTGGGATTGCTAAGCGGTACCATGGTTGGTGGGGGTTGAAAGTCTATGCCTAGAGTCTTTTTATGGGACGTTGGCAAACTCAAACATCCACCTCACCACCCTGGTGCATCCATTGTTTGTGGGAAGGTGATCCCAGACGCTATACCAGGGAATTTGTTTGAAAATTGTAGATTATACTAGCTTTAGTGTAACTATAATCTTAATTTTATTAATGACAGGAGGCAAATATTTGCTTAAGTCTCTCTTTACTAGAACTCCACAGCAGCACATTAACATAGAGAGAAAAATACCAGAGACAAAAAACTCAGGAATCCATAAAAGGCTTCTCCCAACTAACTAATTCCTCTTTCACACTGCGACAAAATAAAGTACATGAACGATACACCACAAATACAATAACAAGAGAAACAACATAAGATAACGATGAATGCCATCTGAAATTGAAAATGTGAAACTATTGGATGAAGCCTTGACCTTTATCCTGTAGAGTAGTCGAAGAAGAACTGTAGCCGAACCATTAAACTGAAAATGAGATAAACAGATTCGAAAACACTGATTAGCGAATGAAATGAACTGAGAAAAATATGAATCCCCATTGTCAATACTGACAGTATAATATCCAAGATACTGAGAAAACATGAATCCCTATCATAACATACTGACGGTACCATATCCCAGATAAACCCTAACAAAATAAACAAAAGTCAGTCAAACCAACCAACAAACCAGAGAAAAACTGGGAGGGAAATATTCGCCTCCTGTCATTAATAAAATTAAGATTATATTTACACTAAAGCCAGTATAACAATTTTATAACATGACAGGAGGATTCATATTTGCTGTTTTAACGCTCGGACAGCAAAGCCCAAAGAAACACAATCCGCCGTACCAACCTAACTTAGCGAAGATAGTTCCCATAACCGGCAGGAAAGTGTACAATGTCCTGGAAAAACCGCCCGCCATGACGGCGCCTGCAATCACAGAGTATCGACTGAAATGAACCAAAAGACCTATACGCCACGCCAATGCCAACAACCAATGGGCGGTACCTGAGGGGCGAAGAAAAGGAAAAGAACAGTCTAAACAAACGGTGGCGTCGACCGCAACATAAAAAAGAGGGGCGCGCAACCAAGACAAGAGTATAACCCTCAGGTCCAACTAGAGCCAAAAGACAACTGAAAGAAGAAAAAAGGGTATGATAAGGGAAACCAATCCAGAGTCGGAGATGGACAAAAAAACTATGAAAAACCGGCAACCTGGCACAAACAACGCGTGTACCCCTTGGGGAAATGAATACCCATCCTCGGGAATCGAGAGGACTCAGACCCCTATGAACCCACACGTCTAGCTCGAAGGGAGATACCAACAGAGCGAGGCCCGTCGAAACAGTCGTACGCCCTACTTAATCTAAGTGATACAACAGTCCCCGGTCAATAAAACGACCAAACAATAATCGAACCCTGTAACAGTGTTTGCAAAATTTCTGTTAATCCGTACTAGACCCAACTCCGTCATGGTCGCCATGCAGGCAAACGTCTTATGGTCCCCGAGATCAAGTGGGACAGGTCCAGGGAATCCGGGCACTAGTCTCGACTCGGCCGAAGCGGAGGTCATAAAACCAAGGTACCAGCAGACCAAGACACTTGCAGTAAGGTCCTGTAAACAACAATGGAGGGAACAACACCCCTGGAGGGAAACGTCCATCACTGAGCAAACCGGTCTGTATGCCGGCTAAAACTGGATGGGGCTTAATGGATCATCCTCCGTGGGCTAAGGTCTTGACGCTGGGTCTTCCCGGAAAACTATTCCAACCGTATGAGAAACTCTGATAGGGGGAAAACGTAGGCGGTACCCCCTTGCGTCAGATCTGCCCTCCAGGACTCTACACCTCGAGCCGCAGAGGGGAGTCAATATTCCTCGTTTGAACACAAACTCCAGTCCCTTCAGTCTGGGGGGCAACTCGGCGGGTAGACCGTCCCGCGAACTCTCTTTGGTTCTGGTATGCTTGAACGTCCTAAATTCATCCAAACCTGCCAGCCAGGCTGTATTATCGTCCAAATGAATGATGCCCCAGGTCCTTATCTCGCCAGGGAGAAACTTGAGCCCGTCTTACCAGGAATGGGCCCCGCGGTCCTGGAAGTTCCATGAGGACCGCGTCTAATTCAAAGAAACTAATGGCTATACCTTTAAGCGTAGTATAGCCATTAGTTTCTTTGAATTAGACGCGGTCCTCATGGAACTTCCAGGACCGCGGGCTCAAGTTTCTCCCTGGCGAGATAAGGACCTGGGGCATCATTCATTTGGACGATATACCTTTAAGCGTAGTCTTGTGCGGGCTCCAAAGGCCTCAGATCCCTTGATCCCAAGCACCTCCAGTGGTCCGAATTGATGAAGATAGGGTCTCCTGAAATCCCCAAGTTCGGGGTCCCGTCTGTTATGTCATCCAAAGGTGGAGGCAACTGTGACATTCCGGGCCCATGGTCCAATCCCTTATAACAGGTACAGGTTGGAGCTTTAGATATGTCTCCGTAACGTTTTTTCATATGAAAACTCCCATTATTCTTCCCTGTATGTCCCGTAGGACAACCCATTTGTGTGGGAGAACCCTTGGCTTGTCAGTGCAGACTGAAAAGTAGAGTATAGGCACCGCAGCGGGCCGTAATTCAGATCTCCTGTATACTAGACAGGCGTTGCCACCAGGAGAGCCGTAGCGCCCCATAGGAGTCTAAGTCTGGGTACGAGGCTACTTTGTTCGGGAGCCCGGCTGGGTACATGACTCCAAGTATCTTGCGGGCTTCTCAAGTCACTGATCTACGGTCCCAGCAATGCACCGAAGAAATGAGCAATTGGTCGAGGGTCACACAGGGGTTTAAGGCGACCCACGAGACGACCTCTTCCACAGTCGTCGGAGCCCCTGTAGTGGGCTTGTTCTCCGTCCCGCGGTGCCACTTGGGGGCATCATCATAGTCCACCCCCCATCGTCCTCTGCTTCCGAGAGGGACCAGTCTTCCCGCAATTCAGCTAGGGCGGCCGTGGTGGGGGTGAGATTACGAGGACTACCACCCCAGTGCCACCTAGGCAGTGTAGTCTGGCCGCCGAGGCTGATCGTATCGGGGTTAGATGCTTCTCCGGAGTCTAATCTGTCCGCGCGCCTGGTTTAGGGCCTTCACTCCTCCAGTAGCGCTTGTGGGCACTTGCCTGCAATCCTCTAGGAGAGTCTGACTCATTCAAGTCATCTGTCTTTATTAAAAAGGTGGTCACTGCCGTGTCCGAAGGACACTGCCTCCCTATAGGCAGTGCCGTCCAGCCCGATTGCATCAGGGTTAGACGCTTCTACTGAGTATATCTTTCGGGCATCTGGTTTAGGGCCTTCACCCTTCCAGTAGCGCTTATGCACACTTTCCTGCCCTCCTCAGGGGGGTCTGACTCCTTCAAGTCTCCCGCCTTCTTTAGAAGGTGGTCGCTGCCGTAGTAGGCATCGCCTGTGTGCATTCCCCCGAATGAAGGGTTGACCGTGGAGCGGTCCGAGGCAAGGCAACCTCTAGGGGTATAACGGACAAGGGTCACCGGCAGCAGCATCAGGGCAGCACCCCATCTAGTGACAGAGGCAAATTTGGCAGCGCATGCAATGTCCAAGCATGAGTATGTAGTTGCAAGGCCTGGCATCAGATATTCTGGCACAGACAACGCAGGCCAGATCAATGGGGCACAGACAACGCAGGCCAATCAATACAGCACAGACAAAGCAGGCCAATCAATACAGCACAGACAAAGCCGGACAAATCCTGGGGCACAGACAAGTCAGGCCCTACGGGGGTGCACAGGCGATAAACTGCCCTTCCATTCTTCTGATTAATTGTACAATTCACTCTTTGGAGAAGATGTACCTAACACTTCTTCAGATTAATGGCACATAACACTCTCCTGTGTCACTGTACATAACACTCTCCTGTGTCACTGTACATAACATTCTACAGTGTCACCGTACATAACCTTCTTCTGTGTAACCATACATAACCTTCTTCTGTGTAGCTGTACCCAGCATTCTTCTGTGTAGCTGTACCCAGCATTCTTCTGTGTAGCTGTACCCAGCATTCTTCTGTGTAGCTGTACATAGCATTCTTCTGTGTGTGTAGCTGTGTACACAGCATTCTTCTGTGTAACTGAACACAGCATTCTTCTGTGTAACTGAACACAGCATTCGTCTGTGTAACTGAACACAGCATTTCTGTGTAACTGAACACAGCATTCGTCTGTGTAACTGAACACAGCATTCGTCTGTGTAACTGAACACAGCATTCGTCTGTGTAACTGAACACAGCATTCGTCTGTGTAACTGAACACAGCATTCTTCTGTGTAACTGAACACAGCATTCTTCTGTGTAACTGAACACAGCATTCTTCTGTGTAACTGAACACAGCATTCTTCTGTGTAACTGAACACAGCATTCTTCTGTGTAACTGAACACAGCATTCTTCTGTGTAACTGAACACAGCATTTCTGTGTAACTGAACACAGCATTCTTCTGTGTAACTGAACACAGCATTCTTCTGTGTAACTGAACACAGCATTCTTCTGTGTAACTGAACACAGCATTCTTCTGTGTAACTGAACACAGCATTCTTCTGTGTAACTGAACACAGCATTCTTCTGTGTAGTTGTACAAAGCATTCTACTGTGTAGATAACACTTTTCAGATGAATAGTGCCTAACACTCTCTGTGAACTGTAACCAACTCTTCTGTAACAGAGAGTGAAAGAAACATTTATAGTAGTGACATTATAGTAGTGACATTAGAATTTCCAACCTGCCTCCCCACTGGCGCCCGGACCGAGGGCCCTGCGGTGTGGGGAGGCCAAACAAGGTCGGGAGCCGTCACTCCCACGTGGCCGGGAGCCGTCGCTCCCACGTGGCCAGTCATCCCTCCCACGCCACCTGCGGCCGATAAAGATAACTGCTTCCCAGTGGTACGGGGAGCGTGGGAGGGAGACAGGAGGAGGGGCAGTTCCCGCGCACCGTGAGAGTGGTGCACAAGATACCCACGTGGGACCGCCGGAGTCGTTCTCCGCGGTCCCGGCTGCTGGACAGGACGGGAGGCGGTACTGAACCGCTCCCCGCTGGCTGCTAGGAAAACAGAAAGACAACAGGAAGAAAACAGAAGGAAGCCATAAAGAACCGAAAGAAAACAAAAGTAAAATGTCCACAAGGAGAGCAGGGAAAAATAGAGGGAGAAGGGTGGAGGAAGGCACCCATACAGACCCCACAGAAAAAGGGGGGGAGGTAGAAAGAGCAGGCAAGAAGAAAACACCTGCAAAAGGCACAATAGATGACTTCACCTCAATAAATCCCAAAATCAACACACACTATCAAATCATGAAAATCAAATCATACAATCAAATCATGGATGTTAAATCATTAACCTCAAATCCTAAAAGCAAGTCATACAATCAAATCTTAAAAACAAATCATAAGATCAAATACAAGTAAAAGTATATATCCCACAGCCACCCATATAAAACAGGAGGCAGTGGTACTCTGACCTGTACTGTCTGCAGAGCAGCAAAGAAAGAGGGATTAGTTGGTTGGGATAAGTCTTTTACGGATTCCTGAGTTTTTTGCCTCTGGTGTTTTTCTCTCTATGTTAATGTGCTGCTGTGGAGTTCTAGTAAAGGGAGACTTAAGCAAATATGTCATGTTATAAAATTAAGTTGCCACAGAGAGTGCCAACTAGGCTTTGCAAGCTCCCCCAATGGTTCATATATGCTGCGCAACACTACCAGTGTTATAACTAGCAACTATCATGGTATTTGGATAAGTAGGAGTTTGTTATACTATATATTTAAACAAGTTGTTCAAATAATATTTGATACAAAATTCCTTTTTATTTTTATTTTTTTAAATTTTTTTGAAGGGAAACATTCATTTGACTTCAGCTCAAGAAGTCTATATCTTCAGAATCAAGGTATGCTTTTTACTTATGTTTTTGTTTTGAAATAATACAGTAATACATTTATCAAAACGTATGCTTAGTCATGAAAGGGACACTATAGTCCACAGATCACTTACAGCTTACTGTAGTAGTTCTGGTGTCTATAGCTTGTCCCTGCAAGCATTTTCATGTTTACATTGCCCCCAAGGCACAGCTCTTGTGGCTACTCCTCAGATGGCGACTCAAGGTGCTTTCTGGGGCAGTGCTTCATAGTAGGCAGCACTGCCATTCAGCGTCTCAACGCTTTTCATGGAGACACTGAATTTTCTTATAGAAAAGCATTGATTCAATTCATATCTAGGAGCATTGTTTTGGACCGCCTCGTTGCCGATTTCATCCTCTTTAATGTTTTCCCTGTGAAAAATTATTGAATTATCATAAATCATTAATTCTGATGATGTCAGCAAGTAGGTGGATGGGGGCAAGTAGGTGGATGGGGGCAAGGCCAGCGATGGCGTAATCACGCTGTTCATGAAATAAGGTAATTTTTCATATATTTTAAAGGGGGGCAGCCACCTAAAGGGTGATTTTAACACTATAGGTTCTGTAAAACTTTTTTGTGTTCATGAACTTAAAGATTTCCTTTTATTTAATGCCTCTGCGGTGGGAGTTACAATGCAAATCAACATCTGACCTCATTACGTATTATTTTGTTATGGTGAAAAATTCCAAGTTCCACTGTAACTACTGCCAATCTGAGAATGTAATGCGTACAAATGTCATGCTTCACCGGAACAGGAAGACTAGTTACTTTCATTCCATTTGCACATCAGCTTCCTCATGAACTACTGGACAGAGTTGACAATGGCAACTGGGCACTGTAGTTCGTTGTAATTTTGGCAGGTGTAATTACATTGACATCTGTCCCCTGTGTCTAGTAGTTCATGAGAAAGCTGATGTGGAAGTAAAGTAACACCTGGCACAGTAACTCCAACTAATCTTACTGTTACGGTGAAGCATGACATTTGTAGGCATTACATTCCCAGTTGGCACATCTATTCCATTAGCACACCAGTTTCCTCCTGAACTCCTCCGCAGAGTATACAATGGCAAAGTGGCACTGAAAATACAATCACTGTTTAAACGAAGTGTAACATCCATGTCTTTTTACAAGTATATCTTTGAGTGTGATTTATATCTGTATAAATGCATTGAAAGTATGAAATAAAGAACAAATCTAAATTTGTGTTTTTGGGTGTATTTTTTTTTTTAATTTTGGTACTAGAATTACTAGAAACAATTCATTGTGTTTTATTTGTTATGGGGCTGAAATCGTCTCTTTAAAAATATTCAAATTTAATGTAAATATGCAAAATAAATTATTTGTAGGTCATCATTTTTATGAATAGTTTGACTGATATTAAAATGACACAGTAGGCATCCAGACCACTTCAGTTCATTGAAGTGGTCTGGGTACTATGCCCTTAACCCTACAGTGGGAAATATTGCAGTTTATAAGAAACTGTAATAATTACCCCTGAGGGTTAACTCCTGCTCTAGTGGTTCTCCACTAGACATCCACTATGGGTACTTCCGGAATCTAAATGTACCCTTTGTACGTTATCTGACATTGGACATCCTTACGCTCTGCATGAGAGCCTTCAGTGTATTATTTTTTTCCACATAGGAAATCAAAGAATAATGCTTTCCTATAAGGAAATCCTGCATGGCCAATGCTGCACATGCGCATTTGGTCTCCCTCACCGTCTAATGTTGGCGGAGTAAGAGTGTGGGCGGAGCCTCAGCGCTGAGGGAGATTGGAGCTGGATTAAGGTAAGAAGAAAAAAAGAGAAAGCGTGGAAGCTCAGAGAACACTCAAAAATGGGGTTAACCCACAGTAAACTACCAAGGTAGTGAACAGAAAAAGAAAAGAGACTTAGAGTGCTCTAAATGAAATACATTTAAAAATTAGCTTTTATTCATATAAATGTAAAAAGAAGGAAAAAGGGGAGAGAAAACAAGGTACTAAATATGCTGGTGTATATCTGATATCCAAGAGTCGAGAATATATACACCAATATAT